GCCAGTCACGCTTTTCTGTCAGAGCTTCTACACTATGGAATGATTTCCCATCTGAGATAAGACACTGTAACATCTATCACAACTTTTAACAAAGGCTCAAGAACTTGTTTTTGGACAATCAGACGTGAACATTACTACTCAACTCAATACATTGCTCACCGAAACGCTGTTGTTGTCTTTCTAGTTTACATGCTGCTAACTTTCAGTAGCATGGCTTATGTGTTAGTGCATATGACCATACATAATGACTATTGAGTTTTATCTATGTTTACTTTCTATTGCTGCGCTGCACGTCTGAATGTAATGCTGATCTGTGTGTAGGTTCTTCATGTTGCTCTGCATGTCTGTCTGTGCTAACATGCTGTTTGTTGTTGTTGTGTAATTATATTGTACTGATGCTCTGCTGTTTGCTGTAGTTAATACTCTCTTTATGTCTTTATGCTGTTTTTGTCCTGTGAATTGTGTCCTTTCATTGCTTTCGAAACATCTCGCCAAAGGACTGCAGTTGAAAGCTAGCCAGCTGGCTAACACTGGTACATTTACAGAAATGTTGTTGTCATTATAAATAAAACAAATGAAATAAAACATTAAAATATGATGTGTAAATATATGTATCTGTCACTAACTATCATTTTAATAACTTCATATTATATGCACCATAAAAAGTCATGTTTATACATGGCACATTAGGCTGCCCTACACTTTATTGTAGGCACAGTGTAACATGCAGCTCATTTTTATACCATATATGCGGTAGAGGGTCCCTGCTCCGTTTCTCTTTCAGCTAAGGGGTCCTTGGACTGAAAAACATTTGAGACTCATTTTATAGAGTTTGTGTGGAGTGAAAGAGTAGCTATGTACAATCTTGTAGCGTGTGAGTTTACCCCTCACTGCCCAGCCGACATTATAGACCTACGTCTTCCTCAGAAAATACACTACGCATTCACATTATGACTGGAAGTTGTTGAGGGGCCTTGCTTTTGTAACTGCAACTCAGCAAATTCAATGTTTTGGGCTGTATGAGGATGTTAAAATCATGTAAAACCAGTGTTTCATCCACAGAGAGCTATTGCTTTGGTAGGTTGTAGTCACCTTTAACGGAATACTTTAACATTTTAGCTTTTTTGCTGAAAGATGACATGTTGATATCACTCTCATGTCTGTTTGGTCTGTTTGTCGATCGAGCCTGTAAGCTCATCTTTGCATACAAACTAGAAACAAGGACACAGAAAAATCTGCCTAAAACAATACCCTCCCACCAGCATCTCCAAAGCTCACTTATTAACACATTATACCAACAACCAAAGTGCAAAAACAACAATTCACTGTTTTGAAAAGGGTTATTTGCTGGACTATTTTCCAGTTGCCAGGCAACTAGAGGTGACTTTGCTCACGATAATATCTTAATTAGGGAGCGTGAGAGGTGCAGGTAGGCAGTTTGTGTTACTTTTTAACAGAGTTTGGCGAGCTATTTACCCATTTCTAATTTTTATGCCAAAATAAGCAGCTCATCTGTCAGCAAGGCAGCAAAAAAGCGTACTTCCCAAAATGTCAAACAGTGATGCCTCTGTGTAAATAATCTCTTTGTTCATATACTGGCTGCCATATGTCTCCTCAGAAGTTCCTGCCTGACTGGCAAAAACTGTTTTGATGGTTTTGTCACTTTCTCAGTATTCAACCATGGTGACGTACGAGTTAGAGTTAACTTTGTCACTTCAGTTTGCACTACGTAACATCCACAGTGGGAAAAGGGTGAATGTTTAAACACAGACTCCCAAATGTAAATAGTAAATATGATCCAGACCTACCTATCCGGTCCTGTCTTGCACTTGCCTCTCAGCTCAAGTGTCATGTTTAAAAAGTGTGCTTCAAAGTCAGGATCACTGCCTTAAACCAGTAACAGGAAAAAGCTATGTCACTGCTTATTCTGTGTTACATACTATAAGGCCAATAAAACTGCTATTGATTGAGAATTAAATTGACAACTCTGATTTGTAACTGGTGTACTTGTCTTACTTATCCCAGTACCACCAAAATAAATCAAATGTATTAAAACATTTGTTTAACTATAAGAGAAATGTATCAGTCCAGCTCAGGATATCCTGACACCAAATGCCCACCCTGTTACAGGACATTTTCATCTCTATTGTTCATGTCTATTGTTGCAAAGTAAGCTGTTTAGATTTCGGGCATATTTTCATTTTCAAAAAAACTATCAAACAATAATTTAGCACCTCCCTGGCAGTAACTCTAAGGACCCCTTGCCAAAGACCCAAGACTTACAATAGCATAGAGTAGGTGTCATTTCATAAGTAAAAAGATGCAGCAACTAATTAAACTGCACAAATAAGTGTGAAGACATAACCTTAAAAGTCTTAAATCTTTTTTCAGCTTTTATTGCTGCATTATTTTTGTGCAAAATGATAAATAAGTGCTACAGAGAACATGTATCAGAAACTAGAGAATGTATTTTTGTGCTCCGCCAGTCAAATTTCCTAGATACTAATACCGATTCAAGACCGTCAGCAGCTCAACATATAGATTATTGCACTAGTTGTGTGCTCAGCAATGAGGAACTTCATTAAAACAAGTGAGCGGGTATCTACGCTCATTGATCTTACTGCTCGGCTTAGCACTGCTACCTTGGTGATGTCATTCTGGCACATGATTTGCTCTTCGGGGAGGATGTGTGGCATCTCCCTTGATCTGAGCATTGCTGCTGTCAGGCGTGTTGAAGCAGCTTGTGTGCCTTGTATTTCTTTTAGAGTAAGAGAAAGATGTGAGGAGTCATTTTTTCCAAGTTAAACTGGTTAAACAAATAAAACATTATACATTTATTTGTGTAGCATATATATGTGTGTAAACTGTGTCTGACTGCAGCTTTCTTTTCTTTTTTCTAAACCTTTATTTATGTAGTGAAGTTTCACCGTGAGCATTAACAGAGCGTCACATCTGTCGCGGCCTTTGAGCAGCTTAACTACAACCGTTGGGGTTAAGGGTCTTGCCCGAGGACAGTTAACTGGTGGTAATGAGGGAGGGGCAAGTGTGCTTTCCACACTTGAGTTATCCTGTAAGTCCTGGGATCAAATCCACGACCTGTCAGTCACAGGCTCACCTCTCTAACCTTTGGGCCACCACTCCACTGTCAGTTCAACTGCCGGCTGCACAATGTGTGAAACAGGAAGTGCCGAATGGTAAAGAAATGTGGAGACTACCCTCACACATCCCAACAGGAACTATGAGCAAATTCCCATAATGTGTATACAGCAATTAAGGTGATGTACTCAGTCTAAACAGCCTGGGCCTTTTTCATAGCGCAGGTGTTCCTAGTGATAACAGTGTGACAGGGAGCCAGCATGCACAATACCAGGAACCTGAAACTAAAGTAGCTAAATGGAAAACAGCCATCATTAGTAGTATTATTTACACCTTTGCTATTCCTAATGTGAAATGTCGAAATGTTTTCCATGAGAGAAATCTATTATGGCTTTAGCCAACTTCTGGAACGTCTTGCTTCGCAAAAGTATTTTACATATCATGGACTGAGAATTCTGACACAAATAAAAAGCTGGAGATTAAAGAGAGAGAGTGCAAAATACACTTAAATACCTTGTTACCCCCCTCTCTTTTTGCTCCAAGGTGTCTTGGTCAATCTCAAACACACACACACACACACTCTCACACACTGTTGTCAGCATCATCAGCAATTTTCAGTTTGCACAACTCTTCTGTTGCATGCTCACTCTCTTGTGGCTGTTTCCCTTTGCTACAAGAGGACAACCCGAGAGCCTGAGAGCAACACAAGTATGTTTTACATACATTTAATTATGTTTAATCCTCTCATCTCCGCCTCATGCTGTTCTGTGTGCTGTCCTACAATTGACCACTGATTTAAACTCATCAAATCAATGCCTTGGAAAAATGTATCTCCATATTACTTTTATTACTTAATCAATAAACATAACACCCTGGGCTTTTTCACAACTGATTATCTGATGTCTTCACAGAAAAAGCACAGGTGTAACAAATATCCTAAACAATGTCAGTGAGCCAGCATGAACAACCAAATCCCTTAAAGTCACAGTCGGTAATTTTTATGAAAATATCTTTGTCATATTTGCTAAAACTGTCACTATATTCTGAAAGAAGTACATGAGAAAGATAATCTGTGAAAAAATTATGTCCCTCTTCCTCTTCCTGCCGCCTCCAGTGGCATTCACTAAAATCAGACAGGAATTTCGGCAACAACAACCAATCAGAGCTGAGGACTCTCTGACACAGCTGTCAATCACTGCTCGTTAACTGTGACTGTCAAACTAGGCAGCGCTGATCTAATATGAATCAAGATTCTACTGCATTACTGCATTGCCTATTTCTCACCTAAAATGTTTTCAGACACATATTTTAGTGCACTGTTTAGCTGTAACATGAGCAAGGTGGTCTGGCTTGTGGGCTGTGCTTATTACTTCGGTTAAATGTATCCAACATGGTGGCCATGTCACAAACTTTCTCATTTTACAGCTAAACAGTTGGAGTGTGGGAAAAAAAACGATACAGCACAGTATCCCGATATTTTTGTGTGGCATTATCATATCGTCACACACTGGCAAATATCTATTTTTTATTATATGAATTAAAAATATTACAAATACAAATTAAATTTTAGATAGCTTACTGGAATAATATAATAAATTGCTTTTTCAGCCCACTAGGTACATTTTGCTGCTGTGATAAAATGGCTGAGGTGAGACGAACGGACTGAAAACTTTATCTTACTGGATAAAACAGAAGACAACGTTTTTGGGGACATAATTTACACTTAAAAAAATGTAATAAATTGCAATATATTGTAATATATTTTATTGCAATACTCAGCATGTCGCAACATATTTAAATTCGCCTCAAAATTGTATTGTGACTTAAATAACCAAAATGTGTGTCGCTATGCTTCACATGCACACTCCCTAAATAAATACAAAAGTGACTTGAATATCTTAAGATAAAGTTTTTTTGGCAGTTTATTTGACACAAGTTTTAATACAGCACATCAAGTCGTCCATTAAATACAGTTTATTCTGACTGATATATTTGTATAAGAAGATATTTTGTGCTCATCCAGTGTTTTGTTTAGGCCAGATACAGGACAGAAGATTTATAGTTCCCAAAGTATAACCAAGTGTAAAGATATTCCTTTTACTTATTGATGTCAACAAAAGCCTGAACATATTACAGAACCTGTGAAGAATGCGTAGCTTCTGGTTGATTTGAACACCCAGCACAGGATTTAAAAAGTCTTTAATGTCTACACACTATAAATCCAACAAATGACGAGTAAGCTGCTGTTCCAGCGTGTGAAACTCTGCGTCAGGCAACAGATACTGCTGGATGATACCTATTACATCGCTCTCAGAAGTGAGCTCGTAGTCCTTCTTGTTCTTAAATGGTAAATGTCCAGCCAGCTCACAGAGCGCAACATTGAAGGCAGACTCCTCCTTGGCACCGAAGCACGATGCTCTGGGCCATACAGCTATACGAACACCCTTTCTCGAACTGTGATCCTTTTCGTTCTGTATGCGATCACAGGGCGGACATCCTCTAGTCAAGAACAGGTTGTGAGCAATATTACGGTCCACGAGAAAGTCTGTGACTTGACAGACTGCTCCTGCAACTTTCTCCACCCCCTCTGATTCTGTGTAAAACAAAAAGCCTGCAGGAAAGTCCAACAAGTGATAAAACCCCTTTTCCGGGACCAGCGGTTTGACTGGCATCGATTCTAACTTGAGCTCATGATCCAGGTAGTACCCGTGTAGGTGCAAATGATTGACAGACGCAAACGCTCCCAGACTATTGAACCCCACACGGAAGCCAGGATCAGAGCTCAGGAGCACAGATTCAATACCACCCTGGAGGGCGAACTTCGTCACGACCTGTGGGAAACAGCGTGAAGGATCTGGAACAAAGAGACAATGTCCAAACTCCAAAGGGCTGACATTGACCAGCACAACCATCCTGCAGGGTTGATGCACCTGTCCTTTTTCATGTCCTCCCTCAGCGTCCTTAATCATCTCAAATATGATTTCCTCTGGATTGATTTTGTTAAAATTAAACTGCTTGGCACTGAACTCCTGCTGAATGCTGAGTATCTCCTGAGGCTTTCTTCTCTCTATTCCTCTTTGAATATTCAGCTGGGCCACATAGCCATGCGGACCCGGCAGGATACGCGTTTGTAAATCACCCAGATGGTAGCGGAAGAGCCCCCTGTTCATCCTGTCTGTCCAGCCGGACTGGATGGTCGCGTCAAAGTTGGTTGGTGGTGATTCAACCCCAAGTCTGCTTTCGCTGCTCCGATGCACATCTGTGACAAAGTCCCAGTTGCTATACACAAACTGGAGTGGCATGGTTGGATCTGCTGGTGTGCAGTGAGGCACAGAGGCATGAGGTTTGACAATGGGGTTCACTATAGCAGGTCTTTTAGATGTCATTTTGCTGACAGAGCGCTGGGTCACATGAGTAGCCTGTGAACATGCCTGCAAAGAACAATTATTGATTAGTCTGCCTGTGATTTTATTGATAAATCAACTACTATTCAACATCAATCAATCAACTATGCAATCAAAATCTTTATTATCATTATTTAAAAACATCTAAAGGGACTAATTTGCAAAGACTCATAACACTTCATTAATACATATGTGATGCATTTTAACTTATAAACAAACTTTTTCTGTAATTTGTACATTTCTATCAGTTTTATATTACTGCTTAGTCTTGTAACTTTGATCAATTATGCAATGTTTGTTTTCATCTTTTTCTTTATGTATGATTGCTGATATTTAATAAGGGAGGCATCTTCGTAAGACATTTCTTGGCTTCTAACCTCTCCTGCACAATGTTTAAACTTTTAACATTATACTATCGTTTCTACACACATGTATGTGCAAATAAATAAACTAAACTAAATTAATCAATTATCTAAATTGTTGCCAGTTCATTTTATCAGTTATTAAACTGGCATGACATTTAATTTAGTGTACTACAACTCTACAACCAGGGTTGTTAACATCAGTGGAAGACAGAAACCCTAAACAGACCCCCTTCACACTGAACAGAGGTTGGAAAAGTATTTAGATCCTTTACTTAAGTGAAAAAATAGCAGTACCACACAGTTAAAGTACTCCATTACAAGTAAAACTCATGCATTTCAATATTACTCAAGTGTAAGTGCATATATATTATCAGCTTAAGCAAGTAAGTATAACTAAAAGTACTCATATTGCTGACCCAGTGATTTCTGTTGTTATTATGTGACCTAATGGATCATTCTTACAGATAAATCAATATATTAATCATATTTTTTTTATGTACAAAATATATTATGAATTTATAAAACATGATGCATTGTTTAGACAAGTGTAAGATAGTAAAGTAAAAAAAATGCAGCATATCCCCGAAATGAATTCAGTTGCAGTAAAATAAACATACCTCAAATTAGTACTAAACTGCAGTAAGGTTATCTGAGTGAATTCCACCACTGACACTGATAATGTCTGTGACAGAAACTAATAGCTACTGGTTGTTTGTCCATAACACAATCAGGTACTCACCTTTTTATTTTGACAGTCGCGTAATATCACCGTGTCAAAGCCAGTGTCCTGGAACAAACAGCAGATTAAAGGCCTTTTTTAAAACACACAACAAACTCTTATTCACATTCGCATAATTTGTTTTATATCCTGTTTTTTCTCAGCACCGGTGTGTTAGCTTAACTCAGCTAGCTTCATCATGAGCTTCATTCATCCGGCTTCCTTGGTTACACGTGTTCTTCTTCGTCGGTGTTTATTGGTGTATTTCCGGTTCAAGTTTTCAGAATAAATGTTTCTAGAAAGTACTTGAATGATCTCGTAGTTTCCACATTAAAACTGTATAAATGTATGTTAATATCAGTGTAATTACAAGTTTAATGTTTAATATTTTTACATTTTAATATTATAAAAGGTTGGTATTTGATAACAGCAGAAGAAATAGCAGAAAAATTATTCCTTAGATACATATCAATTAAATTCAGGGGGCAGTCTAACATATACTTTTTATACTTACTTTTTACTTTTTCATAACATAAAAAAAAGAACAATTTTACATCCTATAGCCTACATCAGAATCTGAATCAGAATTTCCTTTATTGTCATCATACTGGTGCATGACGAAATTGTAGCAGCTTCCTCAGTACAGTGCATAATCAAGTAGAAAAAAAAAGGATAGAATCTGACAAGGACACAAATTTACTTAAAGATACACATAAATTAAACCAAGGAGACACAGTACCACCACAAGGAGACACAAAATTACCACAAAGTGACACAAAAAGAAGCATAACGACTGCAAAGAGACACAAAACCACCGCAAAGACTGTGTGTCCTGCTCCTATTTTGAGGAGGTGGTGGGGCCCTAAGTAAATCTGTGCCCAGTGTCTCAAAATCTGCCCATGAACAGTGTGCAAAGTAGGTGACAGTGTTTGCCTCTGAAATGTAGTTTATTACAAGTATAAAGTAGCAGAAAATGAAAATATTTAAGTAAAGTAAAAGTGCCTGAAAATTCTAAGTACAGTATTTGAGTTAATGTACTTCGTTACATTCCACCACTGCCCTCACCCACTCATAGTGTTGCAGTGACCGAGCATTTGTTTAGGAAGGCTGCTCACTAATGTGCTCACATAACTCAACCAACCCCCAATGAACACACATACACAAAGCTATTTAGATGATATCTAAACTGTAAAGTAATATGGTAATCCCCCTTATAACTGGAAGAGTGTGTGTGCAATATTTTACTGTTGAGCAAGTGTCCAAGTTTTCCCTCGCTGACCCACGATGGCTCAGCTAACTTTGAAAGAATGAGCAGCTGGCCAATCAGGCAACATGGTTATTTTAGTCTCTGCATGCTTTTAGAGATAAAGCAAGCAGTGATTGGCAGAGTTGTGAATCTCTGCCACACAGTTTGGGGGCTCATCACAGTCGATGCTACTGATTACCTGAACTAGCTGGATTTTGAATTTTCATCTCATTTCTTATACATAAATAAGGACAAGTGAGAGGAACAATGGAGGCCAGCAACAACGAAGTAAGTACAGTTGTGTTTGAAACTATAATACTTGTAACAATCTTATATCTTATATCGTATCTTGATAGTTATTGAACTATCTGGCAGCTACTTTTTGAGTAATGATTTGTCTTTATTGAAGTTCTTTCTAAAGTGAAAAGGTAAGAGCTTTAAGGGTTAGATAATAATAGAGGTGTATCTGTTCAGTCGAGCAGATGGCAGCCTGGTCTGCCATGCCTCTAGTTATTTTTAACTCCATCAACAGTTTCTGTTACCAACACATCACACTCACTATGATAACCTACGTGCTAGCTTGATTACTAAAGTTAGTTTTGTCAAAATTCTATTATGATTGAATAGCAAAATGTGTGTTTTTGTCACTTGAACTGTTGTTGATCTTCTCGACATATAGAAAAGAGAAAGAGCTCATTTATACTAAGACATATAGGCTACGTATACAAGGTGAGAAAAACAGACAATATAAATGTAAATAGTAAAGAAAAAACAACATAAAATAAAACTTAAGAAATAAACAAATAAATAATTTGTGAGAGATTATGTGTAGTTTCATGAGATGAGGGTTTAGAAGATAAACTAAACAAAATAAAGAATAGCTCAAGCACTACATAGCCTATTATACAGAAACTGATAAAGGAAACATGGACTGTTTATGCTGCTTTGAAAATATGTCTAAAGATTCTAGATGTATAGCAATTTTAAAATGTTTTTTTCACCAAACAACATAACAGTCTTACAATAAAAGGGAAAAAAGAAACACGTCACGCTGATTGTTTAAGCTGGTGTTTATCTTTATACTCTCTGACAGACTATTTTCTTTTGTAGGCGGGGAAGAAAGCAGAAGACACATCTCACACTCTAAATATAAATGTGACACCTCACGCAGAGCTCACAGCAAACAATACCCAGCCACCCCTCACAGCCAATGTCCAAGGTATGTCATGCATTCATCCCATCACTGTGTGGTCTAGATAATAAAAAGTCATACTTTTCTTAAGAATTCAATTTAATTATGATTAAATTAACAATCACAGATAAATGCAAAAAACATACTTGTGGAAATGATCTAACCTTCACTTCTTGACGGTGTTATCTATGTAAGATAAAGTTGGAAGTTCCGAAAATTTCAAAAAACAAATTACACAAGTTATCCATATTTTAACATTCACTCAACAGTTTAATCCGTTTACTCAAATGCATTTAAAAGTCACATAGACTAATTTTGTATAACCAGTCTGCACAGTGATACCATCAAATGTTTTCCTTATTTGATGCTGTCTTTCCTCACACCAGGTCAGGCTGCTACTGCTGCAGAGAGTGCAGAACACCACCCTGGGGTCCAGCCTGGCCCTGTCACAGATAAGGAAAAGGCTATTAAGCCAGAGCTCCAGATAACTTTTGGCACATTTACTGTCAAGAATGGGGAAGATCTGAAAGTAGAGATCCCAGTGACTGGACACCCAGCACCGAAGATTGAATGGAAAAAAGATGCTCAGCCAGTCAAAGAGACATCAAGTTTAGAAGTGTCAAATACATCACCATTAACAGTTCTTCATATCAGACATGCTGCCAGGGAGCACTCTGGTCAATACTCCATCACGGCAAGCAACAGCGCTGGAAAATATACAGGAGAAATTACTGTGGTTGTTCTTGAAAAGCCCGACCCACCCACAGGGCCTGTGAAGATTGATGAGATCAGTTCTGACTATGTTACCATCTCCTGGGGGGCGCCAGAATACACAGGAGGCTGTCAGCTAGACAACTATGTAGTGGAGAAACGGGACGTTTTAAGTACAGACTGGCAGACTGTGTCGGCAACGACAGTAAGAACCACAATCAAAGTCACCAAACTGAAGACAGGAAATGAATATCAATTCAGAGTGTTTGCAGAAAATAGGTATGGAAAGAGTACTGCAATCACCTCTCCTATTGTGGTTGCACAATATCCTTTCAGTGTGCCAACAGCTCCTGGCACCCCCTTCGTGTCCTCAGTGACAAAGTACAGCATGGTGGTTGAATGGGAGCCTCCAGCTAAAGATGGAGGCAGCCCCATCACCGGCTATCACCTTGAGCGCAAAGAGAAGAACAGCATTTTATGGACCAAGCTGAACAAACTTGTCCTACCTGATGCTCGCTTCAAAGCAAGTGGACTGGAGGAAGGCATTGAGTATGAATTCAGAGTCATTGCTGAGAATATTGCAGGACTCAGCCCACCTAGCAAGATATCTGAAAGCTACGTGGCACGAGACCGCTGTGATCCACCTGGTAAACCTGAAGCTGTTGTCATCACTAGAGACAAAATCACACTTCAGTGGGCAAAACCCAAGTATGACGGAGGAAGCACAATTACAGGCTACGTTGTTGAAAAGAAGGAGCTCCCAGATGGCAGATGGATGAAGGCAAACTTCACCAATGTTATTGAGACTGAGTTCACAGTCACAGGTCTGACAGGAGGTCAAGGTTACGAGTTTAGAGTAACTGCTAAGAACGGTGCTGGCGTCTGGAGCACACCCTCAGAAAGCGTAATCATCATCGCTCAGGATGTCATTGAAGGACCCAAAGCGTTCATGGATCCTAAATTCAAGAGCGCTACTATTGTTCAGGCTGGCGAGACATTCGTTATTGATGCTGATTACTCTGGGAAGCCCCTTCCTGCAATAATATGGCTGAAGGATGGAAAAGAAATTGACAAAGTTACGCCGAGAATGGAGATCAAAAACACCCTCACTCATACGACTCTTACCGTCAGGGACTGTGCTCGAGTGGATGGGGGACGCTTTGTCTTGAACCTCAGTAACATTGGTGGAACTACATCCGTCTCAGCTAATGTGAAGGTCCTGGATCGACCTGGTCCTCCAGACGGACCTTTGAAGGTGAAAGCTGTCAGTGCAGAGAAGTGTAATCTTCACTGGAACCCTCCTTTAAATGATGGCGGTGCCAGTGTTACTCACTACATTGTTGAAAAAAGGGAGACCAGCCGTGTTACATGGACAGGGGTTGAGTCTCAAGTTGAAGCTGTCAGCTACAAAGTGACAAAACTGGTGCAGGGGAAAGAGTATATATTCAGAATAGCTGCTGTGAATAAATTTGGTGTTGGTGAATTCCTGGAATCAGACCCATTCATTGCACAGAACCCTTTTAAAACACCTAGTGCACCTTCAACCCCTACAGCCAGCGCTGTGACTGGTGACTCTGTCGTGCTATCATGGGAAAGACCCGAGAGTGATGGAGGCTCAGAGATTGAAGGCTACATCCTGGAGAAATGTGACAAAGAGGGTGTCAGGTGGACCAAATGCAACAAGAGAAGACTGAATGATTTGCGATTCCGATGCACAGGGCTCACTGAGGGACATTACTATCAGTTTAGAGTAATGGCAGAGAATGCTGGTGGCGTGGGTGCACCCAGTGAGCCAAGTGAATTTATAAAAATATGTGAAGCTACTTACCCACCTGGTCCCCCCACCAACCCCAAAGTGACAGACTATTCTGGCAGTACTGTGTCTCTGACCTGGTCAAGGCCCATCTATGATGGAGGTGCAGGCATCAGTGGATTTGTAGTTGAGATGAAAGAAGAAGCAGAAGACGAATGGACCGCATGTACACCAAGCACAGGTGTAGAGGACACAAGCTACACTGTGAAGAGACTGAGAGAAAATGCAAAGTACAATTTTCGTATCCGTGCAATGAAC